AAAGCACCTCCCAACAAAATACTAATAAATTATAAAGGAAGAAAAAAATAACTTTTTTAGTAGAGAAGCCTGGCAGACACCTCCTCAAAAAAAAAAAAAAAAAAAAAAAAAAAAAAAAAAGTTAAAATTATCAGTATCAGAGCAAATTGAAATTCCATGCCTCCTGATGGAATGCAATGAAAGGAATACACCACTGTTTCCTACTGATGAATCTAATCATTGGACAAACTCAAAATGAGGAATCTTCTACAAAATAATTGGCCTACACTCTTCCAAATATCAAGGTTATGAACGTTAAAGACTGAAAAATCATTCTAGGTTGAAGGAGACAAAGAGACATGACTACCAAATGCAATGCATGAATCTGAACCAATTTAAAGGTTATTAAATCTAAAAAAAAAAAAAAGTTAGCAATAAAGAAAAAAAAAACACTACTGCAATTGTTCGGGCAAAAGAAGAGGGTGGTAGAGGCAGAACTGGTAAAAAGTGTTTGGATTTGGAAGATATTTTTAAACTTAAAATTATGACTTTCTGATTTTTGTCCTGAGCACCTAATTAATAATAGTGGAAATTAAAGGGAGAGGCAAGACTGTGAGGAGTATTGAAGGTAGGGAATAAAGAGTTCTGTTAAGGACATATTTTTCAATTATCTATTGCTATATAACACACCATTCCAAAATTTAGTGGCTTAAAATAACAATTATTTATTCATGATTCTGCAAATTGGGCTGGATTTAGCTTCATGATTTTTCTAATCTATCCTAGGGTCATTCTGGAAACTAAAACCCCAACTGGGGCTAGATGATTCCAGATAACTTCACTCGCATGTCTGGTGCCTTACCTAGCATAAATGTACTGGCTGAGAACTGGCCAGGGACCCTTCTCTCTCTAGCTGGGCAGCTGGACCTCTTTACATGGTGGCTCAGTGTTCCCAAGAGAGCAAAAGTGGGAGCATTCTGTTCATCAGAGCAAATGACAAAGGCAGCCCAGCTTCAAAGAGAGGAAAGATTCTACACCTCTTGATGGAAGGAGTAGCGTACATGCACAGTGTTGATAATCTTGGTAGATAATCTACCACAAATATGTTAAGTTTGAAGGAATTGTTAGTAAAGTTGGAAATGGGATTACAAGAGTTTGGTGGTCAAGGAAGGCTTCTGGACTGGTTATATGAATGTGGGAGTTATTAGCAAAAAAAAACGTTTTTAAAATCATGGGACCTCATTAAAAAAAAACAAACTTGAAATAAGGGTTGATAGAAAAGAGAGGAAGGTCTAGGGCTGAGCCTGAAGTGCTCTCACATTTAAAGGTAAGACAGAGAAGAAGGTGACAAGAAACCTACCGGGCCCTGTGAAATAGGAAGAAAACTGAAGCGTATGAGCTAGTGAAAGGCAGGGGGAAAAGTGTTTCAAGAAGAAGGCCTATCTTGTTAAAAGGTCAAGTAAGAAGTGGCTCTTGGATTTGGTTATGTGGAAGCTATTGGCAACTTTGATAACAGGGACTTATGTGACTCAAACTGGGTACCCCAACCGAGGGGGCACTCAGCAGTGGGACAGTTTTAAAGCCACAGAATAAATGTGGTTATCTTAGAGTGTCAGTTTTACTCAATGGTAAGTATTTTTAAATATTTTGCATCTATGTATATAAAAAGCCAGCGACCATACGACCGGTTGCTATGATGCCCACTGTGGCCAGCAAACCAGCCCGATTAGGTACATAGGTCTCCTTTTTGCCCCATTGACCCAGGAGTTCTCTATGTGGTTCTCTGAGGCTAATCCCCGGCCAGCATTGCAGCTTTACTTATTCCTCTGCTCAAACCTGCTCTTTTCTCATTCTTCCCAGTTACTGTTCTCAAAAGTATCCTTTAATAAGTACTGCCCACTACTGAACTCTCCCACCCAGATCGAGGGCGGGGCCAGCCGGCCAAATGCCCCACCGCCTTCCCCCTGCCAGCCCCGCCCCTGATCAGCCCTCCCCACCACAATAGGCCCTCAGCCAGCCCTGCCCCTGATCCCTCCCACACCCCAATAGGGGGTGAGGCTGGCAGGCCAACCTCCTCAACCTTCCCCCTCCCCCCCATCCACCGGCCTGCCCCAACCCCTATGGGTCCCCACCACCCTGATTGGCCTGAAGCCCCTCCCCCCAGCTGGCTCCACCCCTGATCACCCCTAGGGGTGGGGCCAGCCAGCCAACCTCCTGCTGCCCCTCCACCTGCCCAGCCCCACCCCAGATCGGCTCCCCCCTCCCCTCCGCCACCCTGATCAGGGGCAGGGCCCCTCCCCCAGGCTGCTGGCCCCTGATTGGCACCCCCCACCCCACTCAGGGGCAGGGCCAACCAGCCCACTGTGCATAGCCCCTCCCCATGGGCAGCCACGCCCCAATCAGCCCCCCAACCCTAATTGGGGGTGGGGCCCATTGGCCAATCACCCAGGGCCCCTTCCCCCAGCTGGCCGGGCTCTGATGGGCCCCAATCGGGGCCGGCTGGCTGGCCAACCTCCTGCCATCTCCTCTTCCTGACACGCCCAGCCCTGATCCATCCCACTGGGGGCTGGGCCAGCCGGCTCCCACCCGTACACAAATTCGTGCACTGGGCCTCTAGTATTACAATAAAAGAGCTACATTAGGAACTAATGTATAACATTTGCATACATTTTCAAGATACTATACTATGTACCCCCCAAAAATGTTATGTTTATGGGGTTTTGGGGGCCACATTGTATCAGCTTGACCTCTGGAATCAACTATGTGTATATGAGCTAGCTCCAATAAAACTCTGAACAGCAAGGCTCAGGTGAGCCTCCCTGATTAGCAATGCTCCATGCACCTGGTCACATATCTTTGCTGCAAGAAGTTAACAATGTCTACAGTTCCACTGGAAGAAGCCAAATTGAAGTTCTGCATGTAGAAGTCTCTGGGACTCTGCCCCATGTACCTCTTCCCTTGACTGATTTTAATCTGTATCGTTTTGCTATAATAAAATATAGGCATGAGTAAAACAGCTTTCGGTGAGTTCTGTGAGGCCTTCTACCAAATTATCAAACCTGAGGTTGGTTTGGGGGGTCTGCAAGCTTGCAACTGGTGTCAGAGTGAGGATGGTCTCCCAAACTTTGCACTTTGGGACCATCCTTTTTCCCTATTACCATATGTACTTGGATGGAAAACTCTAAGGAACATTTATCTATACATACACTAAGTTATAATCCCCAGTATTTATTGATCATCTGCATATTTAGTGGCGGGCACTGAGCTGGCACTAGGAATATGTAAGTGAACAAAGCATAATCAACTCCCCCCCCTCAAGGACCTCAGGCTTGTGCTATAGGACTGTAAAAGGGGAGTGGCTAAGAGACATATTCTCCACCCCCGAAGATGAGGGTACTGTGTAAGTGAGCGGGCATCCTTAGTGGGGTCTGTGAATGTTTACATGACACCAACTTTATCACTTTCACTTGGGTAGCATTCCCTCTTAGTTCACTAGGAGGAGTCAGGATTTTTTAAATAAATATATATATATATATATTGATTTTTAGAGACAGGGGAAAGGAAAGGGAAAAAGAAGCATCTGTCATGCATGCCCATTATTGAGGATCAGAGCATGTGCCCTGGCTGGGAATCAAACCAGCAACCTCTTGGTGCCCAGGACAATGCCCAAATAACTGAACCACACCGGCCAGGGCAAGGATTTTTAGTTTTCCTGGTGATTAGGCACATGATTATGTCATTTTCTGAGAGGAAACACAAATGCAAAAGAAAGTTATATGGAAAGACAAGTTACTTGTCCCTTAAGTGGGTGTTTGAGATGCCAGCAGGAAATCCATATGGCAAGTTTAAGAGCCAGGTAGAGGTTTGGTCCAGAGCTTGGAGGGTAAGTCTGGGGTCAGAGGCCCAGATTTGGGAGTCATAAACACAAGGTAGTTAATGCCATAAAAAGGGATGGGCAGTAGAAAAATGTTAATATTGCTGAAAGGTGGTATAAGATAGGGTGCCCCCCAAAAATGTATGCACACACATTGAATAATTATACAGTTTTTATTAAAATACATTTCATTTTCAACATGGAGCTATCAGCTGTGAATGTGTGTATACTTGTTTTTGGACACCTGTATGTTAGGAAACACCAACCTTTAAGGGCCATACAGAGTGATGCAGGAATGGAAGAAGCAGGATGACCAGAGAAACCAGAGAGTTTGGGGGACCCTGGTATGGGGGGTTGCAATCCAGAAGGAGTTTCATCAGAGAGGCTGTTCAGAGTGCACTGGAATGGGGTCAACCAGGAGAGACTTGGTGTGTGATTTCCATGGTGACGGAGGGAAGCACACTGAGTGATTCTTTTCTCTTTTTTTAAAAAAAGTCTTTATTGTTGATAGTATTACAGATGTCCCCCTTCTTACCCACCCCCCATGACCCCCCTTCACCCGGCTCCCACCCTGCCCCAGGCCTTCGCCACATTGTCTGTGTCTATAGGTAAGATCTTTGGTTAATCCCTCCCCCCCCCCCCCCCCTTGCCTCTGAGATTCCTCAGTCTGTTCCATGTTTCTATGCCTCTGATTCTGTTTTGTTCACCAGTTTATTTTGTTCATTAGATTCCTTGTTCGTATATTTTGATTTTTAGATTCAGTTGTTGATAGATAAGTATTTGCTGCCATTTTATTGTTCATAGTTTTAATCTCTTCTTGTTCTCTTTTGAAGAGAAGATGCAGCAGGATCAGAAAAAAATACTGGTTTTCTCTAGGCAAGACCTAAAGGGAGATGGCAGTGAAATGACAAAATTCTTAGCTCTTCTGTGCCTTCAATAAATACTTACTGAGTGCTGAAAGTTTGGCTGGGACCACTGACCGAGGGCCCGTTTCTTCTCGGTGAACCTCAGACAGGAATGAGCCAAGTAAGCCCCTGCTGGGGGGCATGCGCGGCCTCTTCAGCCCGTCCTGGCGCAATAGCGCGGCATGGCCGCCAGGGGGCGCACCCCTCCCCGATATTACCTGCGAGACCGGGGGCGGGGCGCCGGGGGCGGGGCCTGTGACCGCTTCCGGCTTCCGGAAGCCTCGGTCGCCGCGCGTCGCCGTCATGGCAGCCGAGGAGAAGGACCCCCTGAGCTACTTCGCAGCGTACGGGAGCAGCAGCTCAGGCTCCTCGGACGAGGAGGACAGCAGCGAGCCGGAGGAGACGAGGCGCGGGGCTCCGGACCCGGCCCAGTCGGCGGGCGGCCGTGGGAACAAGAAGCTGCCGGGCCCCGACGAGCTGTTCCGGAGCGTGACGCGCCCGGCCTTCCTCTACAATCCGCTCAACAAGCAGATCGACTGGGAGAGGCACGTCGTCAAGGCGCCCGAGGAGGTGAGGCCCCCGACCCCGCTCTCGGGATTGGCCCCGGCCTCCGCCCCCCCGAGCCGCCTCCTGGGGCCGGAAGTCCGTCCCCCCCCACCCGCAGTCACCCCCCCCCCCGGGGGGATGCCGCGCCCCCCGCCCCCCCTCCAGCCCCGGGAGCCCGGGCCCCCTCCCCCGCCCGGTGGGTGTCCGGTCGGACCCGCAGCCCCGCCCGCTCGTGAAGAGACCCAGACCTCCGCGCTCGGTGCCCCTCGGGCGGGGCCAGGACTAACGGTGGTGACTCCCCCGCCCCCGCTGCAGCTGGTCCCCGAGACCGCTCCCCCCTGACGCCGAAGTGCCTGCGGTGCTGCCTCCAAGACAGTGTCTGCTGCAGCCGCCGGAAGGGCCGCCTTGGCGTAGTGTCTGACCCGGGACTCTGCTTTGGTAATTAAAAAAGTTATCAGCTTTCTTCGTCTCTAGGGAACCCTTTGGCTTTTCACTTAACGGTACTGTGATTTGGATGGAAAAGGAAAAATGTATCTTTAAACTTTAAAAAAAAAAAAAAAAAAAAAGTCGCCCTGCACAGTCATGGAACGGCAGGCAGGGAGGTGCATGTGCCCCGCGGACGCCGGGCGCCTCGGTGGCTCACGGCGCCCCGTGTGTTTGCTCAACAGCCGCCGAAGGAGTTCAGAGTCTGGAAGTCCAACTGCGTGCCGCCCCCGGAGACCTACGCGGCGGAGAAGAAGCCGCCGCCGCCCGAGCTGGACATGGCCATCAAGTGGTCCAACATCTACGAGGACAACGGCGACGACGCCCCGCAGAGCGTCCGGAAGGCCCGGCTGCTGCCGGACGGGGAGGAGACGGTGGAGTCGGGTAAGGGGAGGCGGGCGAGGCAGGCGGGGGGTGGTCAGTACCTTTTGGACCCGGAGATGGTTCAGGGAGATGGAGGTGCTTGATGCAGTTTAAATCCAGCGAGCTAGCAAATTGACTAGGAGAGTCTTTGAATACTTTTTACTGTGGGTTTTTTTTTGTTTTTTGTTTTGTTTTGAAAGATAGTATGTAGTCAGCTGCGAAGCGCTGCTGTCTCCGCCAGTAGTATTTGCTCTGTTTTAGAGAAAGAGCACACATTATTCAGGCTCTAAGCAGTGGTTCGCAACCTTGGCTGCACATTAGAATCACCTGGGGATCTTTTTAAAATCCTGATTTCTGGGCCTCATCCTCCGGAAATTCTGTTTCTTTGTTACTAATGTTGTGGCTCCACCCCATAACAAAGAAACAGAATTTCCGGAGGACGAGGCCCAGGAATCAGGATTTTAAAAAGATTCCCAGGTGATTCTAATGTGCAGCCAAGGTTGAGAACCACTGCTCTCTAGAGTGAAATCTGATATCTCAGGCAGCGGTATATGGGGGTTTATGACGGCATGGATTCCTTCTTGTGATTGCAGTTGTGAAGGCTTCATATTATATGAAAGGGGTTGTGGTTTAAAGCGAAAATTAGTGTGACAAAATGAGCTTAATCGGGTAATACTATATAGTCATTAAAAATAGTAATATAATGACCTAGTTGTCTTGCCTTCATCATATCATAATTTCATCTCTTTTTTTTCTTTCTTTTTTTTAAAATATATTTTATTGATTTTTTACAGAGAGGAAGGGAGAGGGATAGAGAGTTAGAAACATTGATGAGAGAGACATCGATCAGCTGCCTCCTGCACGCCCCCTACTGGGGATGTGCCCACAACCAAGGTACATGCCCTTGACTGGAATCGAACCTGGGACCTTTCGGTCCGAAGGCCAATGCTCTATCCACTGAGCCAAACCGATTAGGGGATAATTTCATTTCTTACTTGGACTGTAAATAGCCACAGTAATCTCTGCTGCCACACTTTTAATTACCCATTTTCATCCTTCACACTGCAGCTAATAATGTTAACTTTCCAAAAATCATCCCTGATTATGTAACTCACCTGCCCAATACCCTTCAGCAACAGCACAGAGTCAAAGCCTTCTGTGACGGGCTCTGCCTTTCTCTCCGCTCTCATTTCACCCGGCCCCTTTCTCGCACTTTAAGATCTTAAAATTCAAAACTGAGTGCGCCGTGCTATTTTATAGTTCCACGCCTTTCAATATATGTTGCACCGCAGTCTGGAATGTTCTCTTCCTCTTTGGCTGGTAAACTCATTTATCCCTTAAACTCCCGCTAACTAATTTTCTGTGCCTGTGTATTCTAATGCTATTGATTGCACTTACCACTTTTTATGTGACTAGTTATTCACAGTCTGTCTCCTTTATGAAAATGAGTTCCTTACACAGCAGGGTCCAGATCTTATTTATGTTTGTTTGTATCAAAATTTGCAGGAGAATACATCCTAAGTACTCAGTGGACAGTTGTTGGACTAAATATTTTGGACTATCATTTTAATGAAAGGGTGTTAAATAGATTTTTGTTAAATAGATTTCTGATCATCTTCCCATAAATCAAAGGCAACCATGCAGAGATTTTTGATTGTTTTAAGAGCAAGGGTAACCAACTGGTAGTTCTTCAGTTTTTATTCTACTTGGCTTTTTCATTTCTTTCACTGATTTCCCAATGCGTATTAGAAATCACCAAGGCACATCATCAGTAAATGCATCTTTTTGAAGATACCAAATGAAGGGGGCATTTAAAATACCTCATATTGTATAGTATTTTATATCATTAATAATAACACTTTTGCATAAATACTCTTTAATCTTTACAACACCTTGTGAAAATGTGGAACTGAGAGCTTGTGTGACATGTCCAAGGCCACAAAACTAGAAAATGGCATGCTCTGAGGTAGGCACCTTCACAAATTCAGGTCTTTAAATGGAACTGACGCATTATTAAATTGGAATTTAGTCTTTGTATATTTTTCGAGCTAGAGAGTGCGTAAGAAATATTCCATAGGAAGAATGGCAGCAAGGCCACTAGAGTTGACGGTGTAACTGGGCTGCCATGCACAGGTGCTCTCCTTTGTTCCTCTGTGGAAAAGGCGAGGATTATATATCCAGGGCACGTGGAAAGAATTTCCTTTTTTTCCAGCTTGCCTATTGAGTTCAGATAGAAGGAATTCCAAATATGTGACAGACTGCTATTGCCTTAGTTATTTTCTGAGCTTTTGATCATGTGATGGTCCTCCATCAGAAAGTGAATGTTGGCAATATCAAAAAACAGGAGGACCCAAACACACTCAGCCAGTTTAAAGCTGGATCACAAGATTGAAAGATAATCCTGAAGTCTATCTTCTTATAATAAATACCTTCCTTTAATTCGTAAAATATCTTGTATTAAGTTTTTAGATTATCACATTATTGTGCTTACTTTTTCTTCCCATTTTCTGCCCTTTTGTCCTTTTTGCCAGTTAACCTCTTCCAGATATTTTAAGAGGAATTGGGAAAGGTTCAAATCTGGTCATTGAATCTTGCTATTTATTAGCACCTCTTGTTTAATGATTGTTAAATATAGATATGTAAGGCGCTTAGATAATGAATTGTAGCTTTATTAACAATCACTAAAGCTTAGCTCAGGTAGCTAATGCTTTCTTTTTTAATTTAGCAAGTTAGCTTGTATTAATAATTTAAACTTATTTACTTCTGGTGACATGAATTCCATAATAGAAAAATTGTTTTTTTTACTCTTGCCTCTGTAGTATATGGCACAAAGTAGTAAAGCTGATGAAGGAATATTTCAGGGTTTTGGAGTTGTTTTTTCCTGCTCTGGTTTTTAAGGCAATGCCTTGTTATGTCACTAGATGGCATTAGCTCTTCTCATATCAGTGATACTTTTCCAGCCTCAGTAATTTGTGTTTTTGTTGTTATTTGGTAAATGCGCTTATAACAAGTGGTGGGTTAAAAGCAGAAGTGTCTTAAGATAATCTTTTTAATATATGTTAACAGATTTTTCTAGTAGAGTTACAAAGTAACTAATTTTTATATTAGTACTGAAAATAATCTCTAGCCGAAACCGGTTTGGCTCAGTGGATAGAGCGTCGGCCTGCAGACTGAAAGGTCCCAGGTTCGATTCCGGTCAAGGGCATGTACCTGGGTTGCGGGCACATCCCCAGTAGGAGATGTGCAGGAGGCAGCTGATTGATGTTTCTCTCTCATCGATGTTTCTAACTCTCTATCTCTCTCCCTTCCTCTCTGTAAAAAATCAATAAAATATATTTAAAAAAAAAAAAAAAAAAAAAAAAAATAATCTCTAAAGTCAAGCATGATGATAATTAAACTCCAATTAAAAACCATAGGCTTGGTTTATTTGAGCTGTATATTATTTTACTTGGTTTGTAGAGCAAGGATCTTCGTGTATACTAATAAACTACTGATTAAAACTTTGGTTTGTAAATTCCTGGGATGATTTGTTAATCTGAATTGTCTTATATCTTACCATCTACATAAATCCATAGTGCTTTATGAAATGTATGAATAACATTTCCATGCTATGTTTGAAGATGAAGATGAATCACCTGCTCTTTATACTAATTATTGCCCATATCAACAAAGGAAATATTCTGAGTATGGTACAGTTAGCAGAAAGAAATTGAAGACTTAAGGTTTTAATTATATTTCCTCTATAGTTTTATGATCTGATATCATTGGCTTCCAAAATTTTTTAATATAAAGGACCCTTTCAACATCAAAATAGTTTTTAGACCACCACGTGACAGTTGAACTTTGAGTATCTGTTGTTGATGGAGAAAATAAAGTCAAAAGTTCAATGAATTCAGTAATGTGCTTAAAATAAATTTGTATTTTGTAAATCATATCTTCTACAAGTTATTTATTCCATCTATGTAGTGTTCTTAATATAAAGCCACACATTTGTTCAGAGAAATGGGAAATTAGCAGCTGGTCTGTGCTACCCTGTGTTTTATTGAAACATGTAGTTGGATTTTTTTGTTATTTTTCTGTTTCTGTAGTTGGATATTTTAAGTTGAAAAAAATGGTCCACTTCTCATTTTTGACATATTGTCAAATTAATTTTTTGTAGCTACAGACATTAGAAAAGTTAAAGAGAACATAGTTTTAATGTAAGGTTCTTCTCCATCCTCCCTCTCAAATTCTTCACAATATGAAGGAGGAAAGATGTCTGTTTTTCTATTACCATTGGAATATTCTCACCCTGCTAGGAATGGGATAGTGAGGGTAAGGGGGGTAGAACTAACTACATAGGACATAATTGAAAATACAGTTTCAGTGAAACATCTACCTGTGAGTGATTTTTTTTTTTAACTGCAAAATATAAGGAGCCTGGGGATGAGATAAGGAAGTTATTTGTTTGGTGGGAGAGGGGGGAGTTAAAGCAGATTGGAAGGGAAAAAGTATCTGATAGCCATTTAAATAACGTTATGTTAAATTGATTTGTGTGTGTGTGTGTGTGTGTATGAAAAATAGTGTGTTCCATTTGTACAAAGTGTAGGTTATATATTTGAATACATACAACATATGCTGTGGAATACATGGGAATAGCTTTTTCAGAACAAATCTGATTTTTGTATTTTACCTTAAATATAGCACTAAAGGGTGAATTTTGTATAACAATTGAAAAAAAAAACCCTTTTTTTACTTGCACTTTAAAATCAGAATTTTAAAAGTTAATTTTTGGTTTTTTATTGGGAAACTTTGAAAGGAACATTAGTTGAAGCTAGCTGATGGTATTATTACAAAGTAAATGAAATTATAATGCTTTTTAAAAATTACTGATTGAAACTCTTTCTTTCCTGTTTAAAGATGATGAAAAAGATGAGCATACTTCTAAAAAGCGCAAAATAGAACCAGGAGAACCAACAAAGAAGAAAAAGTAGAAAACAACAAATGACAGATTTTGAACTGCGAAACTTCTTGATGAAATGGTTTTTTGGGCAGATAAGTTGATATTGTAAAATATGAAATATCATCTCCATGAAAGTACCTGTTAATAAGTTTTGCTGCAGGAACTTTCCACTGTAAAATTCACTTTTTTTTAATTTAAAACTTGTATGTATTTAAAACTCAAATGGTGACTTGTGATTGTGAAGTTGACAACACTTAGAAGCATTCTTGCTTTCACAGAACTGGTGACATGCTTTGAGATTTCTGTCAGATGTTGACATGCCAATGTTCTATGAACCTTTTATAAAGGAATGTATTTTTAAAGTAAATATAATGTAATGTACTGTGAACTTGTAGGGTGCTTTTCAACAGTGTTTGTACAGTGTAAATAGATCATGGAAATAAAATTACTTATTCAATAGTACTATTACTGCATTACATTAACATTTGAATATTTATGACAGATACTCTCTTTGCCATGTGATGTTAATAGTAGGTATTACCATTTAGGGATTTCCTCCTGTGTTCCAGGTGCTTTGTACATACATTATCTGTGATCCTCAAACAGCCTCGTAAAACAGGTATTAGTAGCCTTATTGTATAATAAAGAGTAACATCCAAGGTTACACAGCTAGTGAGCAGTGAATTTGGGATTTAACTCATGACACTTGAGCTCTAAAATCATCATGCTAAACCATCTATCCGCCAATCAAAATTTAGGAACTGTGATTGGCATCTTTTCCAGGTACCTTTCTGTGGTAGGTAGTGGAGATCCTCTCCTCACCTGATTGTATTGCACGTATCATATATGTCTTATATTGTGAAAATTCATTGATTTCCCTGTTACATAGTAAGTTTGCTGAATACAAAGAGTTGCCAGATGTCAAAAATAAAAATACAGGACACACAGTTAAGTTTGAATGTTACATAAACAACAAATAATGTTTTAGTATGTGTAATATTTAAAACCTATTTATACTGAAAATTTGTTTACCTGAAAATCAAATTTAACTGGGTGTCTTATAATTTATCTGCCAACCCTACTTGTACATGTTTTCTCTACCCAGCTCCTATTTTAATGCTTGTATATAGTAATAATCAAGAAAACAAGATTGTAGTCAGGAAGATAATATTTTATTTGACATATATGGTCAAATGTAGTGCTGTTATTTGTAACATTTTGAACAATAAAAGGAAAAACACTGCATCAGTCTTTCCATGATTCTTAGGCCTGTAAGAGACAGTGTTAATTACAGGACCCACTGAATTTAGAGTGTCAAAAAAAGACATTAGTTTTGAAAAATCCCCAGTCCAATTGTTTCCCCCCATACCGGAAGCCAATCTTTAAAAAACTATAAAATTTGTTTAGTTGGGAACATGATCAAGTAGGTTAAAATTTGTGTCATTAAAAATATACCAGCCATGATGTTTTTGGAATAAGCAAGGAACGTAACAGTATGATGGTTTCTAGTATGTCTCAAACTTAAAAAAAAAAATTCTGCAGCTGCCTATCCTCTAGGTTTACAAATGTATGAATCCCAAAATTGAAGTAATTGACAAAGCAAGAAATTGTTTAAGGTTGAAGTCTTTGTATGTAAATAATTTGGAGGGGGATGGCATCAACTGGTAAAGCTTAACCCAATGTGGCACCAAATTAAATGGGATTATAATTATGAGGCAAAATGTATAGTCTGAATGCGTGTATTGGTGGAACAGATAGCTCAGAAGTTGCTGAAATATTACAAAATTAAAAAAATGACAGCAAACCATAACCCCACCAAAAAAAAAAGCCCATCAAGCCACTCTCTGAAAATCTTTTACACCTTTTGTTCCACTCCCAATGGTTTAACTCACAGCTTATACCAATTAAGACAGAAAAGCTCACTACAGCAGTCCCCATTGGTGCTTTAAGCCTCCTTTCTAAAATGTAACAGAATTGAGAGGAAACATACTATTCTTTTTGGAGGGGTTGTGTTTCAATATTTTAGGACAAGTAGTGGCCACACTTGCGATATTAAGCAACTTCTGGGAATGTGCATCTATGATACATAGGTCAGGCTAGTTTTCATTTGGGAGGGGGAAGGGAAGATAACAAGGAAGGTTAAATATTTTGGAACAGTTTCAGCCATTTGTATCTTGAGTTTCTTTTCAAAATATGGCCAATTAATGGGAAGGGAGATGGGTTTCTTCACCTTCCACAGAAATATCCCTGGTTGGAAAGTAGACTTTTTCATGGCACTTTCTATATCTGTCACCTCATTAGAGAATGGATTCTTTACCCCTTCAGAGATGTTTTGGGAACATGTTTGCTTAGGGTGTCCATGTGGGTTCTCAGGTAAGGAGCTGCTTAGTTTAGCTCGTGAAAAAGCTTAGAAAAACCCATATAGATAAGAAAAATCCTCTAACCAAATTGCTTCCTTGTTAGATAATCAAATCACTTGATATTTCTGATTGTTTGCTCATCTTTAGGATAAGGAAGTTGTATCAGGCATGAAGAACTTTTTTGTATAAGGATAAAATTGAGAAAAGAACTTAAGCATTTTTGGGTCATGTTTTAAAATTTAAAGTGTAAATAGCCTTATAAAGCTTTGTGGAAAACATTCTAATTGGAATCAAAGAGCATTGTTGAGAAAATCGACACTACTTTTTAGCCATTAAAATCATTTCCAGCCGAAACCGGTTTGGCTCAGTGGATAGAGCGTCGGCCTGCGGACTGAAGGGTCCCAGGTTCGATTCCGGTCAAGGGCATGTACCTGGGTTGCGGGCATATCCCCAGTGGGAGATGTGCAGGAGGCAGCTGATCGATGTTTCTCTCTCATCGATGTTTCTAACTATCTCTCTCCCTTTCTCTCTGTAAAAAATCAATAAAATATATTTTTTAAAAAAAATCATTTCCAAATGAGAGGAGGGACAATTAAAATATGAATGAACTGATGCAGCTTTGGACACGACCTACATATATATAAAACATGTTGCCACATGATTGAGATACAAAGCCCTCCCAGAGATATTTGAAAAATGTGGTTATTTTATAGATAATTTGAATGAACTTGGCAACTCAACTTGATAGGTCAAAACTGATGAATTTAAATTCACAACTGGACTTAAAATGTATCCTTGGTGGAATTTTGGATTTTAGAGTTTTGTATCCATACAGAACTGCTCCCCTGTTTTACCCTCCATGATCACTTAGTACAGGAATGCCAGGCAGACAGTCCTACAAAAAGGTGTGAAATTCCCAGCAAGTGTTTTGTTGAACTTTTCATTAAGTTCTGAAGCTTTCTCTCCTTCCACTTGGTTTTCCCAATTTGAAGCATGGCAAATTTTAATGCAGGAGAAAAAAAAAAAAATACCAAGAAGCATTTGTATGTACTGCCCCCAGAGGTAGAACTTTCAGGCTGTTTTATTTATTGATGAGCAATGCCTGGCACATGGTAGGCACTCAGTGTAACTGCTAACTGTTGATGGTAAGCTGAATTCCTCGCCCAGGCTTAGGGGTGATCCAGCAGAGGTTTGTGTTTTCAGTTATATGTGCCAATAAATCTTGACAGTTTAAACCAATTTGAGTTAAGTTTTCTGTCATTTTCCATCAAAAACATCCCAATTGATGTGAAACTCTTCTTACTCTCTTGATTTCTCCCAGGGCCTCATGCTATCCTGGTTCGTGTCTCTGTTTTCTCTGGCTCTTTCTTGGCAACAGTCCTTGAATGCCAATGTAGATTATATAGTTCCTTTCTCATTCTCCACACTGGTTCTTGATTCCAGCCAAGTTTCGGCCCCAGATTTGCATATCCAACTGTATATTTCCCCTTGGTTCTCAAAGACCCCTCACATACCACATGTCCAAAACCAAAGACTGTGTCAAAACCCATGTCACCTCCCATATTTCATTTCTAGTTAATGGTGTCACCATCTAGAAATTTGCCCTCTGCATCACTTCCCATCACATAGGTTTGGGCAGTAAACCCTGAAGGTTCTCCTATTCTCACATACCTCTTAATCTGGCTCTAATGAATTGTTTACAATTCCCTAGATATCCTATTAGTTTCATAGTTCTGTGCCTTCTCTTGTACAGTTTGATTGGCCTAGGCTTCATCTACATACTTCTTATCCTCCAAGAAGCAGTTCAAACATTCCCTTCTTTATATACTTGGTTCTGTTTATCGATAAATCTGGACCTGTACATTGTTTTCCCCCATGCTCAGTACTAAACGAATAGCCAGCATTTACTGAGTACTTGTCAGGCTTGCTCTTGGTGCATGTATTAACTCATTTAATTCAATGAGGTATGTGCTATTACGAGCCCTTCTTTTCAGGGGAGAAAACTGGGCTTCCTCACTACATTGAAGGAGAGGAAGGAGCGCCTGAATGAGCCAGCTGATTGATTTATTAATTCCTGTCTGTTTCATTCAGAGAATGTCTTACCCCTAGACATCGATGGTAAGCTGAATTCCTCACCCCATGCTTAGGAGTGATCCAGAAGAGGTTTGTGTTTTCAGTTATATGTGCCCATAAATCTTGACAGTTTAAACCAATTTGAGTGCCTAGAAGGCACTCAGAATACAAATATTTGGATAATTAGTGAATCCAAAACCAGTTCACCAAAAGTGCAGAATTTGTTGAATACACCGGAAACATCTTTCATTAGGCTGATGTAAAATGAAGGTCAATATGTAAATGTTTTAAAGAGGATCAATGCATATTTCAATGACTTTGTAGCTTAATTACCACATATTTGGAGTATTTTTAATTGAACACCTTAAAGCAATAGGGCTGGGAATACATCCCTGTCCCTTTAAAACTATATTTTAGCTTGTCAATTGTTTTTTAAAGCAAAGTGAGATAGTTTTAAGCCACAAATTTTGCTTCAAATTTCATTGGCTTTTCTCTAACATTTCAAATTATGGCTTGAATTTAGAATCATAGCACCAGGGCGTGGGAAGTCCTCCAGAGGTGCCCCGGTACAGCCTTCCCATAATGTAGGAATGTCTGCTCTATGATCTTCGCCTCTCTTTTCAAGACTCACAGACAAGCCCATGAAATGACAGGTTTACAGGCTGGATTTGAAAAGTCATTTCCTGTGTGTCTATAATATTTTGGTACCCAGTGTCTGGAACTCCTGTTCCTTTCCCTGTGTTTTGCCATTTTCTGAAAAAGGAGAAGAAACAGGATTTGGTGCATATCATTGAAGTAAAAGTGCAGCTCTATTCCTGGTATAATTACCTGTCTTTGTTTCTAAATGGGACAAAAGTTCTAACAACCTTCCCAAGGACACTGGTGAGTTTGCATTAACATTTAAATTTAGAATTCCTAAGAGAAACTGCAAGGAAATAACAAAACAAGCACTTCCAACTAAGGAGGTGACGTGTCTGCCAGCAAAGCTATAAGCAAGTCAACTCACACATAACTCCTCTGAGGCTCACGTGCAGGGGGATTTTAAGACTCTGTTGCTAGTTTTTGCTAGTTTTCAGTTTGGAAACACACACACACACACACACACACACACACACACACACACACACCTCCTGAGGCTTTAAGAGTCTATAGAACCTTGCTCTCTTTACCATGTTCTGCCTTCAGGCCTTCCCCTCCAATCTTCTCCTTAATTACAAAAAATGGCCCAAAAGCCTTAGCAGTAAAATATCTTCCATAACATCTGGAATTCATATGTCAAATCTGTAAGGCATACCGTCTTGATTTTTTTTCTCTCTTAATTTAAGCTTAATGACGTGAGCTCCAAGTGCCTGCTGCCCCTGCCTCCCTCCATACCAAAGGAATTAGGGCAATTGCCTGAGCCATCCAGGGCTGCAGATCTGTTAAAGCCTGTTATTGAGGTTAACAAATGAGAGGGTTAATTTCTCTAGACTGCTCCACAGTTGGGGAAGAAAGATAAGGTAGGGTGCTTTTGAATTTTCAAGCTTTTTTCTCTACAGCAAGCTGCCACCCTGGAGAAGAGCTTGCTTTGGGATTCCAGACTGTCTGGAACCCTGAGGTAAGTGACTGAATTCTGAACCAAATCCCTGGAATTCACTGCCACTCATGAAAGAGGCTCCCCTAGCCTTGCTGCTTCAACTGTAAACAAGAGGTGGATGCTTTTTTTAAAGGAATAGGATTGCCAGGTAGTAGCCTCTGGCAACAACTTGGCGACGTTGACTTAAAACCTTAGACAGTCAGTGGCATTTTCTAGATAATTTGGCCAGGGCCCTG